CTGCACCCCAGGGTGTTCCCGGCACCCCAGGGTGAGCCCGGCACCCCAGGGTGTTCCCGGCGCCCCAGGGTGTTCCCGGCACCCCAGGGTGTTCCCGGCACCCCAGGGCGTTCCCGGCACCCCAGGGCGTTCCCGGCACCCCAGGGTGAGCCCGGCACCCCAGGGTGTTCCCGGCGCCCCAGGGTGTTCCCGGCACCCCAGGGTGTTCCCGGCACCCCAGGGTGTTCCCGGCACCCCAGGGTGTTCCCGGCGCCCCAGGGTGTTCCCGGCACCCCAGGGTGTTCCCGGCACCCCAGGGTGAGCCCGGCACCCCAGGGTTTTCCCGGCACCCCAGGGTGTTCCCGGCACCCCAGGGTGAGCCCGGCACCCCAGGGTGTTCCCGGCGCCCCAGGGTGTTCCCGGCGCCCCAGGGTGTTCCCGGCACCCCAGGGTGTTCCCAGCACCCCAGGGCGTTCCCGGCACCCCAGGGTGAGCCCGGCACCCCAGGGTGTTCCCGGCGCCCCAGGGTGTTCCCGGCACCCCAGGGTGTTCCCGGCACCCCAGGGTGTTCCCGGCACCCCAGGGTGTTCCCAACAACCCGGCGTGTTCCCGGCACCCCAGGGCGTTCCCGGCACCCCAGGGTGTTCCCGGCACCCCAGGGTGTTCCCGGCACCCCAGGGTGTTCCCGGCACCCCAGGGCGTTCCCAGTTCGCTCCAAGTGCACCAGCAACACTCCCAGTGGGGTAATGGATTGTCAGCACAACAAATAGATTACGAGCTCAGCACTGGGATCTCACTGGTCCAACACCACACACTCTTCCTGTAGCCCCACACTCCGCTGTGGGTTGGCTCCAGCTCCCCCCACCCCCACTGCGTAGCATTGCACAGTCCATATGGGGCCCAGATTCACTCCCTGTGTCAAAGGTCCAAGTCAAGTTTGGTTTGGGCTGAGAACAAAGTTCATTAAATAAGGAATAAATAACAAAGCCACTCACTGGGCTCAGTGCAAAGGAACTTTTCATCAGAAAGGACAAAGGGCAATTTTAGCTGCTCCCCAAGAGAGGTTACTGCAGCCCCAGCGCCAATGGCTTGTCAGCCTCAGGGCAAAAGGACACTGTTAGCCCAGGGCTGGGCAGTGCCCACCACACTGTTAGCCCAGGGCTGGGCAGTGCCCACCACACTGTTAGCCCAGGGCTGGGCAGTGCCCACCACACTGTTAGCCCAGGGCTGGGCAGTGCCCACCTCACTGTTAGCCCAGGGCTGGGCAGTGCCCACCACACTGTTAGCCCAGGGCTGGGCAGTGCCCACCACACTGTTAGCCCAGGGCTGGGCAGTGCCCACCACACTGTTAGCCCAGGGCTGGGCAGTGCCCACACACTGTTAGCCCAGGGCTGGGCAGTGCCCACACACTGTTAGCCCAGGGATGGGCAGTGCCCACCACACTGTTAGCCCAGGGCTGGGCAGTGCCCACCACACTGTTAGCCCAGGGCTGGGCAGTGCCCACCACACTGTTAGCCCAGGGCTGGGCAGTGCCCACCACACTGTTAGCCCAGGGCTGGGCAGTGCCCACCACACTGTCCGCCCAGTGACGAGCAGGACTGGCACAGTCTTACAGCCTTACTTGATGGTGTTTTATTTGCCAATCTCTGGCTGAGCTGTGATCATATTCTGCTCAGTGTGACTGAAAAGTCTATAGAATTTGACCAGGAGCAAAGACTTATACCTGAATAATAATAATAATCCTGGCCTTTGATAAGATGCCTTATCACATCTTCAAGACATCACAAAGCGCTTCACACAATATACTATAAAGTGTAATGACTGTGTGTTTTGTGGACGAAATGCGGAAGATATTACGCTCAGCGACTTCCACACAAACATTCATAGATTAAAGTGACCAATTCTTATTACTTTTTTGAAGGAATTATATTACCCCCAGAAAAGCGATCCATCAATCGACTACCAACCGGATCCTACTCACTACAAGGCAAACAGTGACGTGTGGAGTCAGGAAACTTGCCCAACGTTTCTCTCTGTCCCACCCGGGAATCGAACCCAGATCCTCTCGTTTGCCGGGCGAGGGGTCTACCCACTGAGCTACAGGATCATCACTATCATGGCTTCTCTGCTGAAAGATCACTGCTGGAGCTTTCTTGGATTCCTTATTTGGTAGATTTATCTGCACTCATTTACACAGTCAGGAAACTGTCTCCCTATCACACACTAAACCCTGTACCCCATCACTCACCCCGGCCCTCGCCCTCGCCCTCGCCCGGCCCCACTGGCTCCCTATCACACACTAAACCCTGTACCCCATCACCCACCCCGGCCCTCGCCCTCGCCCTCGCCCTCGCCAGGCCCCACTGGCTCCCTATCACACACTAAACCCTGTACCCCATCACCCACCCCGGCCCTCGCCCTCGCCCTCGCCAGGCCCCAGTGGGTCCCTATCACACACTAAACCCTGTCCCCCATCACCCCCGCCCTCGCCAGGCCCCACTGGCTCCCTATCACACACTAAACCCTGTACCCATCACTCCGGCCCTCTCCAGGCTCTGTGTTAGGCTGAGAATTCCGTGCATCCCACCTACACATGGAAATTCCCAGAGATAGATTGACTGAATGGCCTCCTTCTGTGCTGTAAATGTCTCTGGGTCTCTGGTGTCTATATAGAGCCTTTCACGTCAGGAGGACATCCCAAAGTGTTGGTTGGGCGCCTGAGCTGAAGGGATGAGATCAGACGGCCAAAAGGCCTTTGTTGATCCAAACTAATCTTGTGATCTTGTGATCTTGTGATCTTGTGATCGGCACAAAATGTTTAGACTTTTACCCCTCAATTTTCCCTCTTGAAGCAGCTGATTGTCACTGTGTAACAGCGCTGCTCTGACAGACGGTGGGGCTGTTGCTCACTGTAACGTTGATGGAATAATTGAGTGGTGTCATTGGGAATCACAGGGAAACAGTCATTCACATTTGATTTCTAACCCGGAGTTTCTATGTCGATTAATGACATGAAGCCCTTTGTTGGGCAGTCAGGCGGCTGTCATTCACCTCATGGTGTTGGTCCTTCATTTCATGGCTGTTTGTGGGACGTCGCTGAGCCTCAATCAGCTCCCACGTTCGCCTACTAAATACACAGTCACTACACTTTACAGTTATCCACGACTGTTCATGGGACACTGATTTCCCCAATTGGATGCCGCGTTTTACCCACAAAAATATACAGCAATAACTTATATTTATAGTTTTGGGGATCTGGAATGTGTTGCCTGAAAGGCTGGTGGAAGCCGACTCAATCACAACTTTCAAGAGAGTGTTGGATGGATATTTAGGATGGACAAATTTGCAGGGCTATGGGGAGAGCGCGGGGGGAGTTGAGTTGATCAGGGCTATGGGAAGAGAGTGGGGTAGTGGGGTTGATCAGGGCTATGGGAAGAGAGTGGGGGAGTGGGGTTGATTAGGGCTATGGGAAGAGAGTGGGGGAGTGGGGTTGATTAGGGCTATGAGGAGAGCGGGGGAGTGGGGTTGATCAGGGATATGGAGAGAGCGGGGAAGTGGGGTTGATCAGGGCTATAGGAAGAGAGTGGGGGAGTGGGGTTGATCAGGGCTATGGGGAGAGAGCAGGGGAGTGGGGTTGATCAGGGCTATGGGGAGAGCGCGGGGGAGTGGGGTTGATCAGGGTTATGGGGAGAGCGCGGGGGAGTGGGGTTGATCAGGGTTATGGGGAGAGAGTGGGGGAGTGGGGTTGATCAGGGTTATGAGGAGAGAGGGCGGGGCAGTTGGGTCAATTTGGAAGCTTTTTCACGGACACGATGGGCCGAATGGCATCTTTCTGTGCTGTATGATTCTATACAGCGCCATCACGTGGGGTGGGGTTCCGCAGCACTTTGAGTCATCTTGAAGACGTGATAAGGCACTGTATTGAATGTCAGGTTATTATTGTTATTATTCTGTATACTTTACATTTTAAAACGAGACGAACAAAGATCCAAACGGCTGCGGTGTTGCTGTCCGGCAGCTCACAATGTCCCGGCTCCTGGGCTTTGGGCAAACCCTGTTCTGACTTGAAATGCCCAAACCATTTCATATCACCGACCAGGAACCACACTGCAGTGACTCCCGACCACTCCCTACTTCCTATTTGCTCAATAAGTGCAGAGCTGAGAGAAGAGAAAGCTCTACTGACTGACGGAGTGTAACCAGCACCGGCTGCTCAGTGACTGAGTGTAACCAGCACCGGCTGCTCAGTGACTGAGTGACCAGGACACCGGCTGCTCAGTGACTGAGTGACCAGGACACCGGCTGCTCAGTGACTGAGTGACCAGGACACCGGCTGCTCAGTGACTGAGTGACCAGGACACCGGCTGCTCAGTGACTGAGTGACCAGGACACCGGCTGCTCAGTGACTGAGTGACCAGGACACCGGCTGCTCAGTGACTGAGTGACCAGGACACCGGCTGCTCAGTGACTGAGTGACCAGGACACCGGCTGCTCAGTGACCGAGTGACCAGGACATAGGCTGAGGTCAGGATGCAGACAGCACGACTCGGGGTAGTTGCTCTTTGCTGCTGTGTGTGTGTGGGTGAGTCTCACTTTCTCACTCGCTCTCAGTTGGGAGTTTATTTAAGATGATCTAACGATAGAGACAGGAGAACTTGCTCACCGCGTCCCTACAAGAGATGCCGTCAGTCAGGACGGACTGTGTCGATGTGTATTCAGCCGATGTCTCGCTGTCCTTAATGGGATTTTCTCTCTCTCCAGTTACAGCACAGTTCACCATCACTGTACCAGACAATCCCATTACAGCAGCAGCCGGAGGTACGGCTGTGTTTACAGTGAAACCATCTGGTGATGTGAGGAGCGGGACCTGGCGTTTCGGCCGTGTGGTTGTTGTTAATTGGTATCCGGGAGGACAGGACATATCCCCTGGTTACAAAGACCGGATTGTGTTCACAGACGCCTCTGGGACTTTTCAGCTAAACTCTGTGGATTATACTGACGCTGGAGATTACACTGTGAACATGGTGTCAGACAGTAACCTTCAGGCAACAGCGACAGTCACCCTGAAGGTGGAGGGTGAGTAACAGTTACAGTTAACAATAATCTGTCTATGTACCACTCATGTCCCGGGTTATTGGCCACTAACTGTGTCACGAAGCTTCAGAAGAAAATTAAAATGAATATCTTCGCACAAAATGTTTTATATCCAAACAAATGGACAATCTGCTCCGGATCTAATGCTTCAATATCATGGCTCTGAGCTGCTTGAATCAGAGAAATAATGTTTCTACTGTATCAATATACGTATGTGTCATTTTCCTCTTTGTGGAGTCCTGTAGCTCAGTGATTAGAGCACTCGCTTTGCAGGCGAGAGACCTGCGTTCAATTCCCGGCAGAGTTTCCTTACTCCACACTCCTGATAATAATCCCTCAAGAAAAAAATAATAAGTTGGTCATTTCAATCCACCATTGTTTGTGGGACGCTGCTGTGCACAATTTGCTGCCGAATATCGTCCACAAATATACAGTCAATTCACTTGACAGTCTATTCTGTAAAGCGCTTTGAGAAGTCTAGACGTGAAAAGCGCTATATCTAATGCAAGGATTATTATTATTATTATTACTTTCTCTCTAAAACTCATTTATCCACTCTCCTGAAGTATAGTTTTTTGGCACATGTGGCCACTTGTATCTCGAATAAGTAGTTTTTATTAGCAATTTCATAACTCGCTCACCTCGAAAGCGAGAGGACGTGGGTTCGATTCCCAGGTGAGCAAAATCTTTGGCAAGTTTCCGAGCTCCACACACAGATGCAAGTTCCCGAGCAGTAAGTGGGAACCCGCTTGTTGGTGGATTGGCGGATCGCTTTCCGGGAGTAATAATCCCTCCCCCTCCAAATAAAATTGTGCACTCAATCCTGTTCGTAGGACAGTACTGAAGGGGAGAAGCAGGAAAATCGAAAGCACGGTCGAAGAAGAGGGTCTTGAGGTGGGTCTTGAAGGAGGCAAAGGAGGGACTGCGGGATGGAGTTCCAGGGAGCAGAGTGGCAGAAGGTCCGCCCACTCGCCAATAGTAGGAAAGCGAGGCGTGGGACGTGGAGCAGGCCGGTGGGAGCGAGCAGTATGATAGGGGGTTAAGAGGTCACAGAGGTCGGGGGGAGCAAGACCATGGAGGGCTTTCAAGGTGAGGACCAGGATCTTGAACTGTATCTGATGCGAAGCCTATGATGTCTATGAGTAGGGGGGCAAGGAGTGGAGCTGGGAGGTAAGGAGGGGAGTTGGGATGGGGTCTAGGGAGCAGGTGGTCGGTTTCATGGGATGAGAGAGGAGGGGGAGACAGGTTCGAAGGTGTGGAGGGAGGGATGGGCAAGGGCTGGGGTGGGAGGGGGAGATGGGGAGGGGTAGCAGATGGAATGGCAGAGGCAGCTGAGCGGATCCCCTCGACATTGGATTCGAGGAAGTCCAGCATCGCTTTTATTTGGGGGATTGGTGGGTGGGATATCAGGAGAAACTCCCTTCCCTTTTCAAACAGTGCTACGGGATCTTTAACATCCATCTGTACAGACAGAGCAGACTGGAGTGGAGTGTCAGCCCACACCATGAGCTGATGTTGGGCTCTTTGAGGGACAACAATTTGTTCATATCGTGAATCATCACCAAGAATACGAGAGCCAAGAATGTTCATTTACACTCAGGTGCAGTGTATTGTTGCTGATGGGTTTATTTTTCTGTAATCTATGGCTATATTTATGACAATCAACCTCAAAGATATGAATTTGGAATGAGTATGGAATCAATTATAATAAAAAAAATCCTTGCATTTGATACAGCGCCTTATCACGTCTTCAAAATATCTCAAAGCACTTTATAGAATATACTGCAAAGTGTCGTGACTGTGTGTTTTGTGGACAAAACATGGCAGCCAATTGTGCACATCGTCATCCCACAAACATTTGTGGATTGAGTGACTATGTTATTATTATTTATTTTTTGAAGGGATTATTACCCCCAGAAAAGCGATCTGCCAATCGACTAACAACCGGGTTCCTACTCACTGCTGATAAACAGAGTGTGTGTGTGTGGAGTAAGGAAACTTGACTACGGTTTTGCACTGCCCAGGAATCGAACTCGGGTCCTCTCACTTGCGAGGCGAGTGCTCTCACCACTGAGCTCCAGGACTTGAGCAAGAGTTGATTAGGAGTATTTACAATAGAGATTTACACTAACACACACAGAGGAAGGGGATTGGAGAGTTAGAGAGGAGAACTGGGATGAGGATGGATGGCTTCTTAGAGAAGAAAGAAACTGACATAAAAATAATGGACTGAATGGCTTCATAGAGTATTCAACATCTGTATGAGATCAGAAGGTTGTGAGATTAATCCTCATGTCAGGACTTGCAGTCAAGGCTGACACTGTGATGCAATGCTGGGGGTGTCCTTCAATTAAAAGTTAAAGATCCCGTGGCACGAGAAGGAAGTTTTCCTGGTGTCCGGGCCAAGAATCCACCAAATAAAGTCACTCCTTCACTTCTTGGCTGTTTGTGGGGCTTTGCTGTGTGCAAGCAAATTGGTTGCCACGTTTGCCTATAAATACACAGTCACGTCCTCCCGACGTGAAAGGCGCTCTATAAATGGAATCTTGTTGTTGTTGTTGTTGTTGTTCACAGTAAACTCCAGCGAAGCACTTCGAGATGCCTCTATGATGTGATCAGGTGCTATATCAAATACAAAGATTATTATATAGATAACAGTTACAGAAGGATCTTTGAGGCTCAGTGGTGGAACTTGTTTTAAGAAATGATGTGATGCTATAAAGGGAAGACAAAGAGCTGCTTCGATAGAGAATCCTGATTTTGCAGAAGGCATTAATTAGTGCAGTCGGGCTCTGCTGTCTTCTGACGCTTTGAGACCTACTGACATGAAAGGTCTTTTGGTCAGCCGGGTATCTGACACATGCGGAAACCCATCACCATGTTTACGATGGATCTACTACTATTATTATTATTATTATCTAAGATGGCAATGCCAGATGCATTTTGAAAAACGTTCAAAATACTCTCTGAAAAAATAGATAGGATCAAGCATTACACGCACAAGTCTAGTGCCAATACTTATAACAATAATAATATTAACATATAATATGTAGTTTTATTAATGTGTTTAGCCCAAGTGATTACGTCGTAAGAGATTAGGAACGAGAAAATATCAGGAAATATATCAATCTACTAATTGAATGCAGATGTATGTGACAATGTAAAACAAACAAAGTTCCTATAATCATCGGTGCAACTGGGAATATTAATAAGACTTTTCAAAAATAGCTCAACACAGCACCTGATGAACAAAATATCAGCAACGCTGCAAAAGGGAGTTAATTTAAGAAGTTGAAACATCAAACAAAAGTAACATCAATGGCAGTGTTATTGGTCTGGCCGACCATCACTGAAAACCATTTAGAAATGACCATGAAGTGCTTTGTCAGGCTGTTCAGCACTCCGAACGCTATCCTGTGGGAAGGGCGCTGTTTAATGCAAGTTGTTGTTGTTGTTGTTTGTTGGTGAACACAGCAGGAAAGTTATTGCTCGCGATCTTGCTGATTAATAAAGATAATATGGACAGTTATGATTTAGTTACAAATACTGTTTTGGAATATTTTAGATTGACACCTGAATCATATTGTAAATGCTGTATTGCAGAAAGTATAAATATGGTTGGGATGAAAAGCAGATCTATTTTCTCTTGGATGTACAACTGAGCCATGTTGTTGAACACAGGAACAACCGATCACTGAGGTTTCATGGCCAAATCACTTGATGGCCTGAGACCTCTCCAACTTGCTCACACCTCACACCTCTTCCCAGCCCTTTCGCTTGGTTTGCTCAGGCCTTGTGCACATCCCCTGACCCTCTGCTCCACCTTCAATCACGTTGCCCTGAGCCCCTGGAACTCCCGGCCTCAATCCCTGAAGGCTTTCCTCTTTGACGGTGCCTACGGTCCACTCCCCTTTCTCCCCGTCTCAGCCTCAAACTCTGCCAACGCTGAGACACTGCCCCACAGGAAAGTCACTGTATAAATGCAAGTTGTTGTTGCTGATGTTTTATTGGTCTTTCCAACAAACTGTTGTATTTTACACAGAATGTGATGCACAGAATGTAAATACTCTCCTGTGTTTTGACAGAATCTGTTTCCAATATTGTTGTTACCCCCAATGTCACGCAGTCAGTAGAATATAATGACACTGTGGGGCTGACGTGCACTGCATCAGGGACAGACGTGTCATATCAATGGTTGAAGGACAATAAAACTATCAGCTCTGACAACAGGACTGTCCTAAGTGTGGATAACAAACCCCTGACTATAGCTGCAGTACTGAGGGCTGACAGTGGGAATTACACGCACTGGGACAACAACACCGTTAGTAACGACACAAGCCATCCATTTTATCTCAATGTCAACTGTAAGTATCACATTAAAAGCAGCTTCAATGTTATATTTTTGTAAATGATTTTTATAATCTTGGTTAATGTTATGAAATATTTGTTTCCACAAACATTATATGCTTCATATCCATTTTGGACGCCATATAATCGATTCCTTCAACAAACACTGAATTTGATCAAATTTAACAAAAGGTTTGTGATTGTAAAAGCAATGAAAAGGTAAAAGAATATCCGGCATTAAACTCTGAAATGAAACTATTTTCATTACAAATTTCAATCTAAACCATTATAAAACTATTAGATGTTAATTCTGTTTGATTCTCTTCAACGAACTTTCATTTGTACCAACAGAATGAAAACACTTGTTCACTCCTGAAATAAATACCATAATAATTGAATAAATTGTTTTATGATGAACAATGAAAAAATCCCTACTAAATTGGTACTCACTTAAAATATATGAGGAGAAATTCCCCCTTGGGTCTATTGTATTATCATTTCACAGCAAAAAGAATTAAATACTTAAATTGTGTCTATTGAACTCCATTGAATTTGTTTGCAAAATTTTGGTGTTCAGGTTTATCCTCCCGACGTGAAAGCGCTATACAAATGTAATCTTGTTGTTATCGTGATCT